ACCCTATTTTCTATATATTCATTTTCAATCACACATTCACACAATAAAATATTTTACATATAAACTCAAAATTTTCCCCCACTTTTTAACCGAATATTTAGGTTTGTGTGTATTATTTCATTGAAAAATGTATAATTGAAAATAAGAGAGGAAAAAATATATTTTGGAAATTTTGAAGACCAAACAAGGGCTTTAATAAAAAACAAAGTAAACAAATATTAAAAAAAAATGTCTTCTATTTTGATCAATCTACCAGATAGTCCCCAATCATTGCCAAATTGTAGATCCCACTCCTCCTCCTCCATAACCACCAAAATTTGTTTGGGATGAGCATACCATCATAAAAAGTTTCATATACCATATTAAGTAACCATAGCCAAATTTGTCATTTCATTCATATTTAGATAGATCAATTTTTGAAAAGATCGAAATTAAAAGCATATGTCAAACTAGCACGTACAATATTCAATGCAAGAACAATAAGGCTATGTTTGATTGTGCAAAATTTTCCACGAAAAATTGAAAACCAATTCCAACTTCCAATTTTGCAATGTTTGATAGCAATAATTTTCCTTGAAAATAGTTTTCTTGGTTTCCCTCACACGAGCACAAATTCCATGATTTTGTTGAAAATGAATTCCCACCATTTTGGTGAGAAAAAAATTTTATAGGTTACCTTTTTTTTTTTACAATTGGAAAATTTTTTAGACACAATGGTAAAAAAAAAAATATCACTTTTATTGACAATTTTCATACAAAACAAAGCAAAATGAATGGTATTTGGTATGATGCTTTATTTATTTGTTGCAATAGGAACAAATTCTAAACTAAATGGTAAAAAAAATTATCATTTTAATTAATAATTTCCATGAAAAACGAAGTGAAACGGATACCGAACTTTTATCATTTTCTAGGTAGAAAATTATACAAATCAAACACAATTAATTACAATTCCCAATAAAACAAATTTTAAGCAATTCAAGTCCCTGTAATTCATTTTATTTCCACCCAAATTCCACATTTGCGATCAAACGGACCTTAAGTGCTACAAGTGGGGTCTATCAACTCATTATCCAATCAATGTGCTACATAGCATTGCTTGAAGAAGAGGTCGCTTGATTAAAATGGAATTGGCAGAGCTATGGAGAAATCGATAATTGGCAAACCATGTAAGTGAAAGGAAACAATTGACATATGCCCCTTATCTTTTTCATATTTATGATTTTTATCTTAAAATTTATTAGTTGTGTTAGAATTTGTTGTTGAAGATGATTGAAAATTCTAATTAAAGTGTACGTTAAGAGGAATTCTATTGGAATGCTTTTGAAATCTTATTCGAAATATATTTGGCAAATTCTATCTAAATTTCTATTTGGAAGCCCTATTGGGAGTTAAAATTGTGTTGGACTTGAAGAGATCAGGATAATGAAATTCTTGGGCATTTTATTTCATCTGCAACTCTACATTTATGGTTTGGATTGTTCCCTATGTATATTTGATTCTTCTCTACAATTTAGTTGGGATAGTTTTATCCCATTATGGGGTTGTTAACCTTGTTACAGGTCGGTTTAATCTTATTGGAGTTTGTTTATCCCCATTATTAGTTAGACAAATTAAAAACACAAATCATTATAATTATTTCTTCATAGTTTAGTGAAATCTCATTTACTCTGCAAGTTATACTTTTCTTGTGAGTTTGTAATATTTACTTCATACTGTGTCCATAATCTCTTATTTTCTTCAACAAAGTGGTATTTGTTTAATCCAATTTCTTCCACATTTCACAACGAAATGGTATTCGAGCCAAAGGCTTGGAAATTCTTGGGAGATCGAGATTTTGATCGAGTTAAAAAGCTTAGGGCCTGTTCTCTTGTCCGTTTTCAGGCCGTTTTCTGTTTTCGATTTTCAAAAACAATGAAAATGCCTTCTCTTTTCTATTTTCGAAAATATGTTTTTGAAAACAAGTTTAAATTTTACAAAAAAAACCAAAAACGAAAATTTTATCGTTTTGAATGTTTTCAAGCAAAAAACACGAAATGAACCCAAAACACGGAAAACACCCAAAACACAGAAATATACCCCTGTTTCTCCTGGTGAGTCGCCAACTATGGAGCCTCACTCCTCCACCTTCTAGTCACCACGCCCACTGGACACGACCACCAATAGCATCACCTCACTGCCTTCTACGACTTCCAACCAACAATCAACCAAAAAAAAAAATCAGATTAAGCAGAAATTTTAGCCCAAAAAACCAATGTGGCACAAATTGCAACTGTCAGAAATTCCATCTTCGGTGACGGCCAAGGTCGCACACTACCACCGGTCGATTGCCCATCCTCAGATGACTCCAGACATGGACTCAATTTACTTCAAACAACACTTCAACATTAAACTATTAAAAATTATTGACACCAACTTCAAAATTTATATGTTATTTAATATTTTATTAACATTAAACTATTTAAATTGATTGAATAATCAGATTTCTTGAATAAAATATTATTAAAAAAATTCTTAAAATTTCAAAGTAAACGCGTTTTCCATTTTTATGTTTTTAGAAACAGTTTTTCAGAATGACAAAAAGAACGCATTTTCAGAAATTTCAAAACAAACATTCAAAACACAAAACACAAAACTGAAACACAAAGAGAACGGCCCCTTAACTTATCTTTCTTAATAGCACCCATGAAGTTTGATGTTCTGCTATTGGATAGTAGTACAAGATTTTCGTTGTGACAAATTAGGAAGTGAGCAATGCTCACTTATATGTGATTGATTTTGTTGTGTTTTTATTTGCTTCATACTTGTTATTTAAAGACACAATCTTATATAATCGTGATCTCATCATTGAAGAAGTTCATGATGCTCTACATTCAAAGGAGAAAATGAAGTACCTTGTTGAAACTAAGGCTCATGGAGATGGGCTTGTTCTTGATGGTGGTTGTGCAAGCGTAAATTAAGGTCTAACTTCAAAATTTATTGCAAGAATTCGAGGCACTTAATTGAGGATTGCTATAAGTTGCAGAATAGAGAAAATTTGGTTGTGACTTTTTAGAAGGGAAAGCAATTGATACTTCAGGTGAAGCAATTGTTGAAATTTTTCACACTAATGGAGAACTTTTTTACATATTTTAGACTACTAATCCAAACTCGACGAGGATTGAATTCTTAATACAACTTTCACTTATGTATTCCAATCAGGATTCGTTTTTAACATATCAAACAATTTCGGAAGATGTTCTCGTAATGGAAAATAATACACCTTATTGGATAACTGGTATTATTGAGGTCAGAATAAAGTTGTTTAATGGGACGGTTAGAACACTTGACGCAATGAGACACGTTCTAAATCTGAAGAGAAATCTTATCTCCTTAAGTACTTTTAATTCATAAGGTACATGAATAATGTTGAAGGTGGAGTCCTGAAATCTATTAAAGGAGCCCGTGTTTTGTTCGAGGTCATAGAAAATCTCATTTATATATCTTGCAGTGTTATACAGAATTTTTGAACAATCAGCATATTGTAAGAACTCAGGTGAATTTGGAGTTGAATTTTGTACCGTTGGAATCTAATTTGGGGTTTTTTTTAAAGAATACATCTCAATTGAATTTAGAAGATATAGGTAAATTCGTCTTTCCATCATTATCGACGATGTCATTGTATTCAGTTGCTAGTAACATAACCGTTTTTGGCAATAAGATTCCATATAAATACAATTCTGCTGATTTAGTTGATGGTTTAAATACGGTTAAAAGTGTTGATTCTAGTTAAAATCATTATTTTAATACATTCAGTTGTGATTTTGTTACAGGGCTTGTTTCAGTCTTATTTGGTGATCATTAGATCACTTTTGCCCCTAATTGGGGTGGCAGATGTAGAGAATATTTTCTGTTGGAAATTTTGATGGAGAATTTCGTTTGTGTTTTTGTTATAAAGTTGAAATTTGTTCCTTACAGTGGAATTTGTCTCCAAGTAGAGAATTCTTAACATTTGGTTATTGTAGTGGAATTTGTGTCAAAATGGATTTTGTTAGAAGTTGGGTGTGACCCGAATTCTTTGTTGAAAATAGTTGAGAATTCTACTTAAAGCGCACTTTAAGAGGAATTCTATTTGGAATGCTTTTGGAATTCTATTCGAAGTCTATTTGATAAATTCTAGTTTAAGTTCTATTTGGAATCCTTATTCGGAGTTGGAATTTGTGTTGGACATGAAGAGATCAAGATAAGGGAATTCTTGGGCATTCCATTTCATCTACAACTCTACTTTTAGGGTTTGGATTGTTCCATATATATATTTGACTCTTCTCTAGAATTCAGTTGGATTGGTGTTACCCCATTATGGATTGTTAATCTCATTATACGTTGGTTTAATTTTATTGGAGGTTTATTTATCCTCATTATTAGTTAGACAAATTGTAAATACAGATCATTGTAATTCTTTCTCCATATTTTAGTGAAATATTTTTACTCTGCAAATTATATTCTTCTTGTGAGTTTGTGATCTTTACTTCATATTATGCCTATAATCTCTTATTTTCTCCAACAAAGTGGTATTGGTTGAATCCGGTTTCTTTCGCGTCTCATAACAAGTTATATGAGATCTTAGAAATGTGTTAATTTTAGTGCAAAGCGATGGATTACATTGTTTATTTTGTTCAAGAAAAATAAATACGATGAATCTTCTTTAGACAACATCAATATGAAAATATCATTATTGAAACTTTGCGGACAAATATGATGATCAGTAAGCTTCTTCTAGCTTTAATAAAACACAAAGAACTTGTAACTTATTCTTGTTAATGCTCCACGCACTACAACTTTTAGATTAGGCTACTCGCTAGAACTGGATTGCAAGTTGAAGAGTCAGAATCCATGCTCTTTTAGTAGAATTTTCCAACACATGTCGAGATTATTCTATGACATACTGCAGTACTCCTATGACAAATGAAACCCAAAAAGTTGATACAATGATACCTCCTCTCTTTGTAATTTTGTTAGCTTTAGTGGTCTGTGAGGTGAATCCCATTACCACCAGTACCATTTCCAGTGAGAGAGTGGTGGACGCCAGGATCTTGGTGAGTGAAAGTACAATCGTAGAGAATGGCGTTGTTTACTCCCTGAAAATTGCTGTTTATGATTGCAGTTGTCGGTGTTGATTGTGTTGCCTTTGCTTTATTGAGTTTGTCCTTGTATCTTTTTAGTTCACTTCTATCAATGCTTGACTGCTCATCATCAATCCCACCTTTAATACTTATGGTCTTGTGGAGACTGAGAGGGTCGCCTGTGGAGTAATGGTTTTTCGGGGTAGGACTTATTTCCATTACAGCTCCTTTGTTTTCACCAGCAAGTGTTATCATGCTCGTTCTGAGCTCTTTAGAATGAAAAAGTTTCTTGTTTTCACCTTTATCTTTCTTTAGTTCTCGCTTTTCATTGGATGCAATTCCGTCATCATGAGTATTGGGCATCACCGGATCGCCAACGGTTTCTTGAACCAGCACCAATTTTTGCTCAACTTCGGAAGGCATCATTGTTTCATGTGCACTTTCTGTCTTTATCTGAGATGGGGGTAGTGTTAAAGGCGATGGAGGGCGAGAGGCAACCTTAGTTTTGGGGGATTGGACTGGTGTTGTCGCCAAAGGTTTGACAATTTTTGGAGATGACGCAGGTGTGGCAGCCTGGCCAGGGACTAATCCATTGCGGTTTGCTGTTGCAATAGGTTTTGGGACTGGAGAAGTTGGCACTGAGGAGGAAGGATCTAGTGTTTGTGTTTTAGGAGATGAAGGTATTGAAGGAGATAAAACATTTGTTGTTGGCAATACTTTGGGGGCAGGAGATGTTGGCAATGAATTTGAGGCTTTGACAGTTGGGGATTTCGATGCTGATGGACTAATGTTTACAAGAGGTGGCGGTGCAAATGGGGACCTTGGTGTAGATGGTACAGGAGCACGTGGTGCCATTGGAGATTTTGGGGTGGGCGGTGCCGGTGCAGGTGGTGCAACTGGTGATCTTGGCGGAGCTGTAGTTGGTGCAGGTTGTGCGACTGGGGATCTTGGTGGAGCTGCAGCTGATGCAGGTGATGATAGAGGTGGTGCATCAGTGGAAGGAGGAGATGCATCAGCTGGTGGGGGTGGAGGATTGGGCTCCTGAGGCTGACTAGGGAATGCAGGTTGCACTATAGAAGGCCGTGGGGCTGGTGCAGAAGGAGCAGTCCGCCGTGCATCTGGGATGGGAGCTGGGGCAGCTTGGCGAGCCATTGGTAAAAACCATGCCGGACGAGGTTGTACTGCCATTGTATGGTAAAATGTTGGAAAACCACCCCAAAGGATATTTAACAATGAAAACTATAATCGAATACAAGGATGGAAAGTCGGATTATACTCTTATATATAGTCTAACAACTACACTAAACAAATATGGAACACAGGAAAAGAGAGAGAGAAGATTGTAAGAAAAGTATCAGATTCAACAACAAAATTCAAGCTCACTAAAGTTACTTGAGAACGTTATCACCTCTTGGTTGGTTCATTCATCAAAAAAAGAAAAGTGTCGCATTCAATGTCTCACCAAGGGGTCACTTAACGGTCTCAGAGACTACACAAAAGTTCCCTTAATCTATCTTCAATCTGCATTATTCCTATTTGTTAGCATATATTCTCACTTGGTTGTCAAATATTCTGGAAATGTCAACCTCTTCTCTATGTAACATGATTCAATGTGTCAATTGCGGCTACTACTGCTAGGCACATTTTGCACGGTGTATAATATCTTATTTTCTCTCTATTTTGCATAACCTGTGACCCTACTTAGTAAGCACAACAATGAGAATTCAAGGTACACAAAATCTACTATTTATTGAGATTCTGCCATCAAATCTGCTACAACTTTATTGTCCCCGTTGCTGTGTCTGTCTTGACTTTGCTTTATGTAAAGATGTGATTCTGCCTCTTCTTTTCCTTTTGGCATTTTTGGCTTTTGGGATGGCTTCAACAGGGTTCCACCAAATTCAGGTAACTTGACCTCTTCATCGTTCAAACTGTAAGCGTCTACAATATTTTTAGTAGCAGTATTAGATGGCAGTGACCGTATAATTCACAACATTTTAATTTAGTTTCATTCTTTTCCTTATTGTAGGCAAATTATTGTCAAACGACCTCTTTGGACGATGATCTGAGTATTGTTTAGTTCAGTAGACATTGACCAAATGACTGAAGGTATATCGGCACCACAATTTGGTAAACCAATCCCATAACCCAGTTGAGCCATTTGAAGTAGCCTAATTTAATTAGTGTTGCTCATGGCCTAACTCAAACTTGGAAGGCTTTTATATGTTGACAGCCCACTTATTGTTTCCTATTGAGCCTTATTACTCCCTATTGGGCCTAACCCTAAAATCTTATAACCAACCATTATATATGTCCCTTGCCCATTACTATTGATGTTAAGAAAGATTGATAGCCTTTACTTTGAGAGAAAAACGGCGATTATTGGCTTTGTGCTTTCTGCCTTTCGTAGTGGTTGTGTGCTACTGTTTCTTCTCCCTTTCTTCAGCCTTTGTGGCTGACCTGTGGCCACAAGCCATTTGATCCTGCACTATCTCCATGATTTGATTCATCAACATAAGATTGAGATCATATGAAATGTGGCTATAGTACTCTTCAACTAAAGTTCTCTTTGTGGGTAGAAACTTTGAGCAACCGTTTGGTAGTGGGTTTGTGGTTGGGTTTTCTCCTTGTGGTGTCGATTGATCAATACTGAGCCCGGTTCTTGGTACAACTTGGAGTTCATTTTCTTTACATCTGGTATCAGAGCTCTGGGTGTGCAAAATCTGGTAAAAATCGACAGCAAGAAGAAACTGTCTCGCGAGTTCCCTAAAATCCGAATCTAACTCCTTCAATTCCGGCCAAACTACCCACTTGTTGGAAAAATTGAAGGCAGACCCATAACCGGCAGACTGAGGCGCACCTAGTGGTGGTGCGCATGGGCTCCGGCGGCGACGCGTGGACTTCAGGCAGCGGCGTGTGGCTGCAGTTTCTAGCCAGATTTTTTTAGGCAGTTCGTTTGTTTTAATTCCTGAACGTACTAATATTTCTATTTTAGTGTTTCAGGATTTGCAAAAAAATTTGGACGATTCTGCCCTTTGGTGAGTAAGACAAATTTGAGGCTACAACTGCAAAAATATTTACTGAATTACTTTAGGCTATAAATTGCGGCCTAAAGCGGTAAATTTGCATCTTTCGTAAATTATGGACTCAGAAAAGTCCGCACTGGTAAATTAGTTAATCCTTTAAAAATTTCAGCACTAGCGCGTCATCATATGGGGGTGGCAATAGGATTGGAGTTATCGTGTGGGGTAACCATTGCTTGTACTAGAGATTAGGAACTATTTGCTCTTTGCTACTACGTGATTGAAATTCGCTCTTTTGATTAATTACAGTATCTTATCTCTTGTAATATATCGTGAGTGAAACTGTTTTGTTGATATCTCTCTAGTTGTATTGATAAGTTGCTAGAATACCTAAACCTTACCCGTTTGAAAATTCCCTTGATTTAAGATCATGAATCTTACGAAACCCTGGGAATCTAAAACAGTGTATATTTGCGAACCTAGGTCTGCTTTGTGTGGCTGTGACTTTGTATTTCTTGTTTTGAAAATGACAACGCACAATTTTAATTTGGAAATTTTTAATAGAAAATGTTATTTTTCTATTTGGCAACAAAAAATGAGAAGTATTTTGGTTCAACAAAAGGTTTCAAAAGCCATTGATGGCAACTTTCCCGCTGATTTTTCAAAAGAACAAAAAGAAGAAGCTGATGAGCTTGCTTATACCTCAATTATTTTACACTTGGCTGATGCAATTTTGAGAAAAGTGGTAAACTGAAAACCATTAAAGAGCTTTGAAAAAAATTGAAAGACCTGTATTTGCTCAAATCTACTCAAAACAAGCTTTACTTACTTGAACGATTTTTCAATTTCAAAATAGATTCTTCAAAAGATCTTAATGATAATTTAGACGTGTTTAACAACCTTGTTCAAGATATTATTAATTGCGGCGAGTCAGTGTCTGAGACTTATAAAGCTATTATTTTGCTGAATGTTATTCCTGATACTTATAGGGAAGTAAAAATGCTATTAAGTATGGTAGAGACACTTTGACGCCCGAAATTGTCATTGACTCCCTTAGAAGTAAGGAGATGGAGATTAAAGCTGAAAAACATGATAGGAAAAGCGGTGAGATTCACATGATGAGGGGTATAACCCAATTTAGGCAAAACAGTCATGATGGTTACCAAAGTAGTGGTGAGTCTAGTAGAGAAGAATAAGCAAAAGGGTAGAGATAGAGATGATGTAAATGTGTTGTCTTCTACTTTTGATAATTATGATGGTGAAGTCTATATGATTACAAGTCATGCTGCTTATTCTGCTGAATTAAATTTAACTGTCAACTCTCGATTACATAAATGGATACTTGATTCTGGTGCATCTTTTCACGTGACATCAAAAAAGGATTGGTTTGAAAATTTGCATGAATCAAATGATGGGCATGTTGTGTTGTGTGACAATTCTGCTTATACTGTTGTTAGCATTGATGATATTAAAGTTTGATACTTGATTTGTGCATACTTTGAAAGATGTTAGATATATCCCTGAATTCTTTAGAAATTTAATTTCAGTAGGAAGATTTGAAAAGGCTGATTTCAACGATAAAATTGGAAATTGAATTTTGAAATTGATTAAAGGTACACTTGTCTCTATTAAGGAAATTAGGAAAAATGATATTTATAACTACGGGCGAAGTGATAAGAGGTTTAAACTCCTCTATCTCTTCCGCTAAGGCTAATCACACACAAAAATGGCACAATAGACTTGCACATGTGAGTATTAAGGGGATTAAGCTTCTTAATGAAAAATGTGCTTTTGGAAATGCCAGTGTATCTGATTTATCTTTCTGTGACCATTGTGTGCTTGGTAAACATCATAGAACTACTTTCTCCATGAGTGTTCATAAAACGAAAGGCATGCTTAAATATGTACATTCGGACCTGTGGGGTCCATCTAACTGTCCCACCTCGGGTGGGAATGACTATACCAGGAAAGTGTGGGTTTATCTTTTAAAGGATACATCTGACACTTTTCATAACTTTAATAATTGGAAAAGACAAGTTGAAAACCAATCTTGTAAGAAAATCAAGATTTTGAGAACTGACAATGGCCTAGAGTTTTGTAACACTGAATTTGATAATATGTGTAAGGAAAATGGAATAACAAGACATAAAACGGTTCCTTACACTCCCCAACAAAATGGGTTAGCGAAAATAATGAATAGAACCATACTTGATAAAGTGTGTTGTATGATGTTAAGTTCTGGAGTCCCAAAATCCTTTTGGGGCAAAGCTGTTATGACTGCTTGTTATTTGATTAACTTGACTGCATCTACTGCATTGAATGGTGACACTCCACACGAAAAATGGTCTAGTGAACTAAGTGGTTATTCTATGCTTAGAACTTTTGGCTGCACTGCTTTTTCTCATCAGAGTGGGGGAAAGCTTGAACTTAGAGCTAGAAAATGTGTTTTTCTAGATTATCCCTAGGGTGTCAAGGGGTACAGGTTGTGGGATAGGAGCCAAAAGGATGTTAAGATCATTGTGAGTAGAGATGTTACATTTAATGAGAGTGAAATGCCATGTCTTAAAGCTGAATCCGAACCTGTGAGTGAGGAAAAACAAGGTGAAGAGATTGATCAGTTGAAGGTGGAGTTAGGAAAACTTAGCACATCTATTCCTGTTACACAGAGTGAGGTGGAGACTCAAGAACAACAACCTGATATGGAGAATAGAGAAAAAGTGATAATAGAAGAACACACAGAAGAAGAGAATCTTCTAGCTGATTATAACTTAGCTAGGGATAGAGAGAGAAAACAGTCTAGAGCGCCCATAAGATTTGGTTATAAATTTGAGCTAGCTTTTGCTCATGCGAGTTATGAGGAGTTAGTTGATAGGGAACCGAAGACCTTTGAGGAGACGATGAAGAGTGAACAATCAGAATAGTGATTTAAGGCAATGAAAGATGAGATGAGTTCTTTAGAGAAGAATCAAACTTGAGAGTTAGTACCTAAACCTAAGAATAAATCTACTGTTGACTGTAAGTGGGTATTTAAGGTTAAGGAGGGTACTAGCGCATCTGAACCCTTAAGGTTTAAGGCTAGGTTAGTGGCTAAGGGGTACACTCAGAAGGAAGGGGTTAATTATAACGAGATTTTTTCACCTGTTATTAAGTACACTACTATTAGGGCCATACTTGCATTGGTTGCACATTTTGACTGGGAGTTTGAATAACTTGATGTAAAAACTACTTTTTTACATGGTAAACTTGACCTAATTATGTGTGCTTGATGAATAGATCTTTATATGACCTAAAATGGTATAAAAGATTTGATTCTTTTGTATTATCAATAGGGTTTCATCGTAGTAAGTTTGATAATTGCCTTTACTTCCAACATAATGACGCTAATAATGACTGCGTGTTTTTATTGCTATATGTGGATGATATGCTCTTAGTTGGTTCATCACCTAAATGGATAAGTTACATAAAGACAAGTTTGAATGGTGAATTTGACATGAAAGACCTAGGAAAGGCTAAAAGAATCCTAGGTAAGGAAATTGAAAGAGATAGGTCAAATTCTATCCTTTTTTACATCAATCCTCATATGTTTCAAAAGTGTTGAAGAAATTTGACATGCATGATTGCAAACCTGTTATATTACCTTTAGCTAATTATTTTGTATTATCAAAAGATCAAACTCCATGTAATGAAAAATAGATAGAATACATAAGTAGAATTCCTTACTCCAATGTGATTGGTTCTGTTATGTATTTGATGGTTTGCACTAAACCCGATTTAGCTTTCGCTGTTAGTACTCTTAGTAGATACATGTCTAATCCTAGTCCTGGACACTAGGAAGCCTTGAAATGGTTGTTGAGATACTTAAAGGGAACTTGTAATGTAGGTCTAAGATTTGGTGTCAATAATGAGGGTGTTAAACTGAAGGGATTTGTTGATGCTGACTATGCTGGGGACATGGATAATAGGAAATCCACCTCTTCTTATGTGTTTACTTTGTCTAACTTTTGTGTTAGTTGGAAATTACAGTTACAACGCATAGTTGCACCATCCACAACAGAATCTGAATACATTGCTATTATTGAAACTATTAAAGAAGCTTTATGGTTTAGAGGCCTTTTACATGAACTGTGTGTTTTAAATGATTATGTGGTAGTATATTCTGATAGTCAGTCATCTATGCATCTATGCAAAAATCCTATTTTTGATGAACGCACCAAACACATTGATATTAGACTACATTTCATTAGAGCTATTATGTTACAAGAAGTTATAAGACTTGAGAAAATACACACACAATATAATTTTTTAGACATGGGCACTACGGTGCTACTGTTGGTGAAGTTTAAAAGTTGCAAAGATCTTCTAAACATCGATGGAGGTAAATGATTTCCAATTTTATTGGTTCTCCCATTTCTGGATTATTACCAATGCTTAGCAGTTTTTTCTTTGCAGGTCCTTTGACTCCAAGGTGGAGGTTTGTTAGGCGAATTATAATCAAACGACATCTTTGGACAATGATATAAGTATTGTTTAGTTCAGTCGACATCGACTAAATGACTGAAGGTATATCAGCACCACCAATTGGTAAACAAATCCAATAACCCAGTTGGGCCATTTGAAGCAGCCTAATTTAATTAGTACTGCTCATGGCCCAACCCAAACTTGAAAGGCTTTTATCTGTTGACAGCCCACTTATTGTTTCATATTGGGCCTTATTACTCCCTATTGGGCCTAACCCTAAAATCTTATAACCAACACTTATATATGTCCCTTGCCCATTACTATTGATGTTATGAAAGATTGATAGCCTTTACTTTGAGAGAAAAACGGCGGTTATTGGCTTTGTACTTTCTGCCTTTCGTAGTGGTTATGTGCTACTGTTTCTTCTCCCTTTCTTCAGCCTTTGTGGCTGACATGTGGCTATAGTACTCTTCATCCAAAGTTCTTTTTGTGGGTAAAAACTTTGAGCAACCGTTTGGTAGTGGGTTTGTGGTTGGGTTTTCTCCTTGTGGTGTCGATTGATCAATACTGAGCCCGGTTCTTGGTGCAACTTGGAGTGACTTTTCTTTACACTTATACTATGAATTTTGCTTAATCCTGCCACATGTACTTAATGTATTGAGTGACAAGGCTTTTTACAACTTTTGCATCTAAGATAGCCATGTTTGATCATTTTTGGGTGTTATCTAGTGTCCGAGTTTATTTTTGTCAAATGTCTTATACGTAGTATTCATAAGTATGTGGCGGTGATGGAATGTGAATAGAATACCTCCAATTCCATCTTGAACATACTTGTTGAAAAGCTTAAACGAGAGGAAACTAACTCTAGGAGACACAGAGAAACAATACGGCAAGACTGATCTCAAAACTCACGAGTTTATGATTCATTTCAAGTTATTCTTTTTATTCTTTATTTGTTATCATCGTTGATCGATCATAGTAACAACAATAACCAACATACGGATTTGATTGGTTGGACTAAACAACATAATATACAACACTTGTAACTTTCTTTTCTTACTTAGCATAGAATTCAGACAATGGAATCAAAGTCTTGCTAGAATTATCGAGTTAATTTCTAAAATTGACAAAATAAGAAATTGCATATGAGAGACCTGTCTTACTCAAAGCACTTGGAGTGGGGTTATTGTCTCTTAAGAATTAAGTTATGAAAACCTGTGAATTCAAGGCCATTTGGTGAATTCAAATACTTTGAATACAATGTCAATTCCAGTAGGAATCTGCCAAATGAAGAGGATTACATTTAAGGAATTCAATGCAATGTGAAGATTTCTGGCCGTTTCATTTCCCTGTTGCATTGGAGGGACTAGAGCTGCAGTTGCTGCCCATAGAACTGTAATAGCTGTTCCAATGTATCAAACCAAAAAATTCAGCTCTTTTCACCTACAAATGCATATTTATGACAATGTTGCAGAAACATGATCGCAATTGTTAAATTGCCTAGTCTAAAAGTTTAAGTCCTTAGATGGGTACCAAATTTACTTATTTGTTCCTTCATCAACACGTTCCCTCAAGTGAAAGTCAGGTTTTTTTTTTTTTTTTTCACCAAAAGCCTGAGAAGTGCATAGTTTCACATTTATGGTTTGGTTGGCAAGGTACAATGTAGAGTACTCGACACGATTAACGAAGTTAAATAAGTTAAAACCTTAACCATTATATTGTCAAGTTATGTCAAATATTGTGTACTAAACATGCTCTTAAAATATGAATAAGAAGTAGCCACATTGTATTATAACATGGAAAGAAAATTTTATGAACTGATACTAATCTGCCCCTGCAAATAAATGGGGTCCTGGAAATAGCTTTCCTGTCCTGAACCATGTATTGATCCCTCCAAATATGGATTCAAAAACCCCAAATCCCAGCAATATGGAGCCAGCATTGAAGTGTTTATCCCTATATGACCCTTTTATCAATTCCTTTCTTTCCTGAATTCATAACAAGGGCAATGGTTATTTTGGGATTAAAATGTAATTCTTTTAATGTTATAATGATGTAACGGAATATTTGCTATGTTAAACTAGACAGTATCGAGTACGAGTAAACACTAAAGGAAGTTAAAATTTTGTATACTATAATATGTAACGGTATTTAATACCCATGTACCAAGTGTGTTCAACTACAAGTTCGGGCATCAAATTTTTTATCAGGTTCTATCCATTCAGAATTTCATTGTTTTTGGGCACCAAGCTTTCGAAACAAGGATAGCCATTAAACAAGTAACGTCCAATAAGATTAAGGAAGAGAGGCTTACGACTATTGTTGTGTCCACTTTGATCAGATCCTTAAAAAATCTCACAGCCTATTCCTATTACATAACTACTTTCTTAATGCTTATAAACCTAGGATTGCTATCGAACTCTCTCGTGTACAAATACCAATATTCCACATACCTAGGCAACGTTTCTCAATCAAAGGCCAAACAAGAGCATGGCAAGGGGCACCCGTAAGATAAACAACAACAAACTAAATTTTAATCCCAACAAAAGTTTAAAGGGTACCTCGGTGAGTTGCAGAATCTTGGCTTCAACAGGAGAGGGCTTAGGTAGTTCAGCAGGTGGGGTGCCCTCTGGGATGACTGCAACTGGTTTCATTTGCTTCTTGAGCTCATTAATCTCGTCCTGTATGGTGCGTACTCTCCTCCATTGCCAACCAAGATAACCAGCATACAACGTGTAAAAGAACAAGCCACTCATAACAATGGGATGAATCAGAGCAAATGATCTTCCTTCAAGAATCCCAAATTCCCCTCCAACAGCAAGTGCATCCTGTTAAACCATACAATAAAGACAGAAATTTCTCAGCCAATGAAACAGTAAAATTGGAAAGACTTTCAATCATGCTTGGTGTACATCATAGTTTACACCATTGTTTACACTTTGACACATGACATTATACCATTAGACGGTTTAAAAAGAAAACATTTTTTTCATCCACTTATTTGTTGACAACCATGGTGATGTCAACAATGATGTAAAAAAACGTACAAATGACATAATCCAAATACTTTTCCTAAATCGGATAAAATGTTTGTGCTTTTAGATGAGGTGAGTAATATGTTGCAATCAAACTGAAGGACATGCCTCGGTTTCTAGAAAGAAAGGCAACGCAAGTGCTGTGAGAGGAACAGAAGCTGATTTTAGGTGGTGTAAGGTTTCAATGATGAGTTTTTGTGGGTTATATGAACCATTTGAGGGACTTTCTTCTATTTTAATTATTTGGTTGTTGGGAATACAACTGAATTTTTGGTTTTTGGGTGGAAGAATTGGGTGTTATTAGGAGGCTGAGTGTGGCTACCATGATGATCTTTATTCCTATTGACAGACAATCGATTGGTGCATAAAGAGACTGATAGCAGAAAGATCGATTGAAAGTGATAAGGAAGACGAGGACAAGTTTCCATGTCCACATAAAAGTGTCGTACTTGTTGAAGCCCTATTTGAACATTTTTTACGTTGAAAAAGTGGGACGATTCAACATCGTACTAAAATCGATTAAATTTTTTGAAATAGCGTCTTCAATATTTATATATTGATTTTTGATGAAAAATGAACTTGCTCTGCACATGGATCGGAAACACGCTTGGGATAAATTTCACGTTTCTCTAACAATGTTAAAAGTAACCCACGCATGTACCTCGAAAAGGTAAAATGGTAGATGATGTAATCAGACTATCAGTGGTCAAAATAAATAAAAATTCTGGTCAGTCAATTATGTGGTTATTTTACAAGTTTTTAAATGTTCTAATATCGGACCGATGCGGTCGAGGCCGAAAAGTTTGATGTGGTCAAATTCTTTCAATATTAATCTATAGCAATTTAATCTTTTAGATAACTATCATTGATTCTAGGGATTTAAGTTATGTTCTAAACTCTACAAAAAATGCATATTATTTTGACTTAAGATGTTTAATTCTATCCTAATTTATATTTTATAATAAAGGACTTGACATGGTTGTTATTTAATTCTAAATTTATTGAAAATAGAATTTAATTTACCAAATGGATAGAATAATTGAGTAAAGATAAAGTTACATGAATTATTTTAATTCCATCAAAATCTAGTGTAAGTTTTTTTTATTTATGGTGTGTTTGAGCCACATTATTTTTGAAGAATGTATTTTGGAATAATAAATTGATGGAGAATGTGTTGTTGAAAAAAGAGAAAAAAATATTGATGTGATGGAAAATATTATTTTATTGAAAAATGTGTGGTTAAAAATAAGTAGACGAAAACAAGAACTTAAATGTACTTTCCCATTGCTTATCGATTTTTTGGGTCCATTGGACTAGTCAACGAAGCCCGGGATTTTATATTTGTTTTCCCATCAAGTCGAGGCGTTATAGTTCTTCGGTCTTCTATTCATTTCTCGAAGGTATTACCTTAGCCCCTATTTGAAACCCCTTTTTTGGCAAAAAACTAATTTCCCAATAGTGTTGCACTGACAATCTCCCCAAAGTCAATTAATCCATCAGAATCCCAATTGTTGTGTCCTTTTAGCCGTTGTATTTTGTTTCCGATTTTGCCCCAATTAGTAATTGCTTCATCCGTCATTTTCCCTAACATCCCATTTCCACCTACTCCTTCGAAAAATTACAGAGACTCATGCCACTGCAATTTTCAACAAAAATTACCGGTAAAACCAGAACAGAGACGGAAATCCAGTAGACATAGGCTTCATTTCGCTGTCCCAATCAAAGCCCCAACCTATTTTCACCTATTTTTCTCTGGGTCCAATTTCGTGGAGATAGTTCAATTTTCTGGCCAGTGCGTTGTTCTAGACTTCAATCCGGAGGTTCTGCGGCTACATATCCGGCGTCCAGTACCAATTTCTGACCGGCTTCCATGGAAAACGACTTTTCCCCTTGGCAAAGTTCCCCCGACCAAACGGTAAGCCATTCTTAGTACTGTGCATTTACGGCGCCCTAACTGTTTGCATTTGCTTCAAAATTACCACTACTGCTATGTTCTGCACATCGGTTGAACTCTAATTAACAGCATATCTCGACGCATTATACCAAACCCGCTAGTACTCCTTCCCACTTTAACTTAAACGGAAACTTCTCTTGTGCTACCCAATTCTCTGTTTTACTTGCATTACAAACCGACTACAGAACTCCAATTAATAGCATATCTCGACACATTTCAGCATACCCGCCAGATATGAATTTCCCCTTTAACTTAGACGAAAACTTTTTTTGCCTTGTCATTTTCTCCGTCTTACTTGCATTATAACCTGACTCTTAAACGGGTTTTCCCATGGCAGCAGTTCACAAGTGGGAGCCCCGATAAGTTGCACTCTGTTCCTTCTCAGTTGCAGGCAGCCCAGGGCGTGGTACGTAAGACATCGAGGTGGAACCAACTAGAGCACAAAGTTTTCATCGATACTTGCGAATTTGTCATAGCTAAAGGCCATCGATAAGGCAAATGCTTCTTCTCAACAAGATGGCATTGTATAGCAGCCATGTTCAATGCCTCTATGGGGAAGGATTGGACTACATCGTAGATGAAAAACTATTGGAATAAACTGAGAACGGATCACAAATGCATGTTGCACTAGAATTGAGTACCGATCGAGTACCAGAAGAATTCACACCCCGGACCATTGGTGGGAAGCGAAAATTAAGGTAATCGTTCGCTTGTATCAGTGAAACTTTTCATCAGAATGTACTATTAGGCAGTTCAACATTGCACGTTGGACTCTATCACATTAATATAACCTTGAATTGGGTTTCTGGAATACCCGGCTTCCTGGACCAATTGATCTAGCCACAACTACCGGTGCATACCTTTAATTAGGACCCCTAATTTACCTAAAATGTTTCTTTTCTCTTTAATTACACTAATCAATCTACCAGGGTTTGGCGTTTCTTCATGGAGGTGATTTGGGGTGTGGTATATGAATACTAATGTCCTAGCATCATCCATAGGCTGTTTAATTCTGGTGTTTTTTGTCCCTAATATTTCGTTCATGTATGTCTTTTTAATTAAACCAGCCTAATTATTGAACAGTTATGTTAGTTATGTTGTAGAATCCTTTCACACCATGTCCATGATTGCAATGTTTTTTCTTAACTAAGAAGATAGATTCACTTATAACAGAGAAGATTATTGACAAAGTGATGAATTTGATGAAGTGTTGAAGCAGGCTTGTGGGACGAGTAATTTTGGAATGATCCCACTCCACCTACACCCATAAATCAGTGATGCTTGCTCTTCTACAAAACTGTATACCGTGTTTAAATAATATTCCCTGACAAGATTAATTTACACAAAAGTGTACTCGTTTAATTGCATCTCCCAATTGTGTAGAATATGTGATAACCAATAGTATTGTATTCATGCTTCGCTTGCATTCCCAACTGGACGTAATATTTTGAACCAATGTATACATGTAAATGCACTAGTGATTACTTCATTCAGATTCGAACGTTATTTGTCATCTACATTGTCCATGCAGGAGAACCCTAAGTACGCGAAGTACATGAACTTCAACTGTAGCGAGATCTATGACACATATGGCAGATTATTTAAGGACACTGGCGACTCAACCAAGTATGCGTTGTCCCCAACGAAGCTGTCGTAGCGTAGTTTTCAATTGGATAAAGATAGCGATAGGGAGTACGCAGGTGACAAGTTCCCCATTAACGCGGAGGCAACAAACTGCAGTGGTAGCCCAGTCGAAGGTCATGCTAACTCCTCCATGAATATATCTGGACACCATAGTGGGATAAAAGAAAAAACAAACACAGGAAGGGAAAGTCAAAGAAGAAAATGTACGGTGCGAGAGAGGTTTCGGCTTCCTTTGAGCAGTTAGCAAGTGTTGGAACGGATCTCGCTTCAATTGCGCGATCGCATCATAAGGCGAGAATGACAGTAAGCGAATGCGTTGACGAACTTCTGTCGTTTGGCCATGTTCAGGAAGGTGATCGACTCCACCTATTTGCCCTATGGATCCTATGCCCTATGGTTCCTATGAGACAAAGACAATCATACCTCATACTATGCTGCCAAGACACCTCTTATGAGATTTAAATTCATCGAGTACTGTTTCAAGCGAGACAATGCTTCCATTAATCGTAAGGAGTGAGCGTTCCCATCGGATGTTTTTCATGACTTTTTAATGTTTATTCTGTTGTTTTCTCTACAAGACTTTGTACATTACCCATATTTCATTTTCCTGTTATTTAAAACACCGTGTAACGTAGAACCTTACACTTTGTGTTGTAATATATATTATCGATTCGATACCACTAATTTCGCACGTTTAATACTTTTATGAAATAGTATGGAAGACATAGTTAGATTCCGCAGGGAATTTGTTCCCTGCATCATGATTTGAAAATTCTCGCATGCGTACATACTAGTCACAAAACAGTATGTTGAATGGACTGCATGCAACTTTTCTATTTATTTTCAAACATAACTTTTCAATTTGTTTGCATGACTTTTTCAACTAAAGAATCCCTGCATGGACTGCAAGAAAGATTTACATCATATGATTTGAACCATGCCTACAGGGGGTTGAGTAAAACAAACAAAGTCAAAATCAATTATTGAACAACAACTGTTGCTTGAAATTATTACTCATGTGCTTTCAGTTCTATATAAATTGCAACGTTTAATGAGAAAGACATTATTTCATGACTCACAACGTACACTTCTACATTCTTTTTTCAAATCTTTAAGCATTTTTCGTGTTCGTAACTCCATCCAATTTACCAAAACTATTCGAAACGAATATTTGAAATTTCTACCGAACAGATACAAGTTCGAAATGATGTCCGATACGTCAGAAACAGACTACGACATTCAATCGATGTCTGATATAGATACGAGTTCTGATGAAGAGTTGTAATCGAGCACGTCGATTTTTATTCCCAACCACGTGATGTGGCCATATTTTTATGCTACAAAATTTGCATGTCTATCCACAAACGTGTTTCAGGAGTTTAGGATGTACCCACCAATGTTTATGTACTTCATGCACATCCTTCGCGACGAGTTTGGAATTTCCAGCAGCTCGAACATTGACATATACAAACAGGTGGGAATGTTCTTGTGTATTCTATCTAGCAGCACGAACATTGACATATACGATCACGTGGGAATGTTCTTGTGTATTCTAGCACACGACAAAGGATATCGACAAGTCCAAACGTTGTTCAGTCATTCGTTGTAGACGATCAGTCATTACTTTAAGAAGGTCCTGCATGCATGAGTGGCATTCGCGGCAACCATGATTAAACCAGATCTGCGTTACGACGAATGGGCAGTTCACCATCATCCGAACGTGGAACGATATCCTCTATTCCAGGTTATGTACTTAACGTCATAGATGGTACAACATGTAATTTGCTATTGTATTGAAGTTGTGTTGATATATATTATTATTACATGATTGTATTTGTGCGATTGACGGAACCCATGTGCGAGTCATGCTGCCAAGAAATTAAGAGAGAATTACATTGGAAGAAAGAAGATTCCAAGCCAGAAAGTATTGGCCGCCTGTGATTTCAATCTCTGTTTTACATTTGTGCTGCCACGAACCACCGGGAACACCCACGATAGCCGCATTTTGGCCCGTGCTGTGCATAGTCAGGAAATCAATTTTCCCCTACCCGCAAACGGTAAATACTACCTAGTGGACTCTGGTTTCGCACATAGGCCTGGATACATGGCTCTATATAAGGGCTCTAATATCATATATCATTTTCAAGAGTTCGGGAACGCGACGGAAGGACAGCATCGTCAGTTCCGAAATGTACGAGAGCGGTTCAATTTTCATCACTCATCATGCCAAAACGTTATTGAGCATGCGTTCGGTGTTTGGAAACAGAGGTGGAAGATAATTAATCGAATGCCTGGGTATAATATGAGAGCGCAAACAGCTGTGGTCGTGGCAACAATGAGGGTTTTCGTAGAGCCGAAGAATTAGATGACGACGAAGTCGAGATAGATCTACCTGATGAAGAAGATGAAATTGCTGCCGAACTCGATGCAGTGGTTGAAGAGCATATCTCGTGGCTACAACTACGCAATTACATGGCACAGGCATTACGTTAGGCGTTGTAGATTGCGGCCGTTTTGAATTGGGAGGCGTAATGTATTCAATTTCGTCATTATACCGATGTATGCGAAATCGTTAATAATTTTCCACCAAGGCAACTCACTTTTTTTCCGCATAATACATGATCGGATTCCGTAATGTTACAAAACGCTTGAATAATGAGCTGACGAAATTGGAATAAAATTATTGGATAGTTTTTAGCACGTTCAAACATCAACAAAAATAAAGAAAAAGTATTCCACCTAACATTAACGTTGGAGGGCAATATTGGAAAAGTAAAATAAATATGCATAAGAAAAAGTCAAATTGTGCAACTCTCTTGGGAACATTGGCGGAGGAAATTGGATTGTTTATTACGTGGGCCCCACCAACTTGGTAAAGTGAATGGAAAAAAATTGGACACATGTAGTCAGACACTGTAGGAGAATTAGAAATTGGATGAAAAAACGGGTTTCAAACAAGGCCTTAATTTCCTTTGTAATTT